TGTGTGTGTGTGTGTGCAGCTTGGCAGGCAGCTAACCAAGAGCTGAAACCGAACAAGAGTAGAAAATAATAGAACTTTCCTCCTGAGCTAAGTTTTCATTGTTTTTCTATGAACCATTATGAGAAGTTGTCATGTTGAGACATCACTGCTGCAACTGTTGGACTGTGTTTATTCATACTTTGATCCTCAGCTGTCTGTCAGACGGGCAGAAAAACCAAAGGAGGTTGATTTTCTGAGAGCTCCACAGGGTGCAGCCAAATGTCTGTTTCCATTGGAGCTCCACTAGTGACTCAAGTATCTTAAGAAATGTGTATATTGTGTTGGTTTTGTATCTTATGCCCCTATGTCTCTTACACATTTTTCCACATTGCATGGAAACATGGCTACATGTATTTATTGAGTTACTCATCAGTACTTAAATTGAAACATCCTTTATGTGATGACTTATATAATTATTTATCACCTGGAAGTGTCAAGAAAAGTTTTACTAGTGTTGTAGCTGAGTCTGACAGTATGCAATAAAGCATTTTAAGCTTCAGAATGATCTTTTCTAGTCTATTGTGCACTAAATACTTCTCTGGTGTAAACCTGTATAGCTGCAAGCTTGTACTTCCCAACTTTATAGGCTTGTGAACCTTCAGAATAAATCAATATTCAAATGTGATGCCTCATCACAGGTATTGGCAGTAGTGTGGATAGTAACTGTGAGCTAAAGAATGACTGTCTGTTGTTCCCTCTAAACAATTAAATAATCACATGTCTAACATGATGACCGATTCCAACCTCGTGTCCAAGGTTTTATTATTTTAAACAGGATATTTTACCCATACTTCCCTTTGGCTGCAAGGACTAAAGCTTTAAAATCACCCCTTTGTTGCTCTCACCTGTCACCCGGATGGTGTAGTTGCTTAGCAGCGTGTTGCTGTGGGCGAGCCGGCACGAGTAGACACCTGAGTCCTCGTACGACACGTTGATGATGCGCAACATCCTCTGGCCCAGCCGCGTCCGGTTGCTAGGCACCAGCCCAGCGCCATCTTTGAACCAGACAACGGGCTCTGAGTGGTCTTCCAGGTCACATGACATTTCCAGGGTGTCCCCCATGCCCAGAACATAGTCCTCCAGGAAGGCTGTCTCGCTGGACACAGAGTCTGCACGCAAAAAGAGGACACAGATGGTTATGAGAAACTGTGTTCTTCTCAACGTAACACAAATCCATTATGTAACAATAGCTCACATTTACAGATGGCTCAAGGGAGTTATTTGGTCAATTCTAGATAGATAGATAGATAGATAGATAGATAGATAGATACTTTATTTTATCCCGAGGGAAATTCTAGTTATCCTTTATCAAGTACAAATGCCAAATATTCTCTGGTCCTTCTTTTTAAATGTGAATGTTTGCTTCTTTCCATCTGCACAGTTACATCAGGACACAACGTTAGGATACTGAGGAAAGAAAGGGAGGTTTTCTACCTGTAAAACCAGAATCACATTTCTCCCCACAGGTATATTGTAGAATTCTAATAATTAAGGGTTTAAGATTTATTATAAACACCTTCCTTTTTCCACAGTGTAAGTAAGAAGCACACTCAGTCATTGAGTTTTCTCAGTATAAGAAAAGACCCCCCCCTTCCGAAACAAAGACGCAGTGATGCAGAATTAACTGCTGACCCGCTGGCGAGCTATCAGCTAATCTGTCTCTGGAAGTCAGAAAAGTGTAACTTTTTATTCCAGCATGAAGAAGGAAACAGATCTGGGCTGTGTGGAAATGCACCTCCTCCTCCTCCTTCTCCTCTCCAACCTTCCCTGTCAAACACCAGCTCATTTACTCCAGGAGCTCCATGTGCCAGCCTAGTTCGAGCCAGGGAAAAATCAACATGTTTACTAGCTTCACTAAGGATGCCGGCCTCCACGGACGATGGAGGAGAGATGGAGGGACATGTCACTGGATAAATAAACAAGGGTCCCCTTGTGTATCTGCTCGTCTTTCCATCAAGGGGTGTCTTCTCTTCCAGACCTAAATTACACGTCATCGTCATCGGGGAGAGACAAAAAAGACGACCTCATGCACCCTCTGGTAGCTCTGGCAACCTTTCAAGGCAACGCCATGATGTACACAAACACAAGGACACTTATAAGCACACAGATGCATGCATACTTTCACATATGCAGGCGTGTAGCACAAACAACCGGTGTGGAGTCTGAATGAGCTGCTTGGGCAACAGAGTACACAACACACACTTGTTTGCACACACAAATGCACCCCCACCCACCCACCCATGGGAAAGACTGAATGAGGTGTGTTAAGAGCGTGATTTATGATGGCAAATACACCCACTGTTGACCCGCTGAAAGGGCAGCGCCCTTACAGAGGCTCACTGACAAGCAGCGGACGTGAACGCAGCCCTCTCACAGACAGCCTTGAACTGAGATTAGGAAATTGAAGTTGAGAGGCAAGGTTGAAATGAGAAGCGGCCCAGACGAGACAATCTTCACGGGGAATACATAATAGGTGCTCTAAATTATAGATGGGGCTCTTTCAACGTGAGGCAAGCTGCTGGTGCGGACGAACGCGAGCCAAGGAGATGAACGCACCCTCACAGACAGACAGAGGTGCTGTTTATGTGAGAGAACCAGCAGGTAACGCTACCAGGGACCCTTTGAAATAAGTCTGCATTTCGTCAGTCCTCCAAAATCAGACTACAGAGGCAGAGGTAGTACTCAGATCATTTAAATGAAAGTAATGCTAGAAAAATACTCCATTACAAAGAGTACTCATTGTGACTAACCATTCAATACATGCCATTGATGTATTAGTGATGAAAATACACAAAATTGGAGATTCAATATTAAATGAAACCTTTGAGATCTCTTTCAGATCAGTTGTAGCACTTCTACAGGTTATATTCTTTCAACAGTTATCAAAGGGTCCTTCTGGTGGCCGAGAAGTTAAGGTGCAGACCAAATATAACTACAACGCCCGGTTCAAGCCAGCTGTTGTCTTTGTACTATCCATTAAAGACAAATAAATCCTCTTCGAACTCAAAAAGTTTTCCTTCAAATTTAGCCTGTATATTTAAACATGTCTAAATCCCCAAATCAGAGCTTATTGGAATATTTTATGAGTTTATATCATCTTGAATATAATACCTGAACATGCGGTGACCCAGTTACTACAGTCATTAAATAAAAAAAGAGTAAAAAACACAATATTTTCCTCAGAAATGTACTGTAGAAAAAGTAATATCTCCCAAATTTAAGATACAGGCAAGCAGAAGCAACCCACGAAAAATGTCTCATTCTTCTGCCTGTTATACCCCAGCCTTGAATACTTCAGACTTGCTTGCTTTGTTTTCTCTGTACTGTAGGTCTAATTAAAGTGAAGTGAATACATGTTGAGTTGTGCATTGTTTCCCAGTCTTATTACGCCCATTAAAAGTACTGGAGATGTTAACACAGCAATGTTCTTAATGTGGCTGTGCAGTTGTCTGGCTTTGACAACAATATTTACAACACTTTTTTTTAAAAGTAAAATAGCCCATTCAGTAGAAGAAAAACACTGAGGCGAAGGTGCACAGAGCATACATTCAAGCCCAGCATGAATGGCTCCCTACCTTCGTGTATTACTTACATGACCTCTGTGAAAGAAAAGGAGAAAATAGGTCTTAGAATATCTTCAGGTCTTAAACATGGGGAATTGGGCTTTATGGGGGTAGATATAATAATCTCCAGAGACTCATAGCTCACTTGGGCTTTATGGAGCCCGAGCACTCGAGCACAACCTCCTCTGGCAGCTCTGAATGAGCAGCAGCAGCACCGAGGCTCGACTTGAACTGCTTCTTTGTATTAGGCACATATTTCCTTAAAGGGCTAGTTCCCCTGAATTACAAAAACATATTTTCTCACTTACACCTAATGGTATGTAACAATGCAGAAAGTTTGTGTTTTAAGTGCTGAGGTTTTGAAATATTTGCCTTTTATTATTATTATTATTTTTTTTTACTTTTAGTGAACTGACCATTTAATAACACCCAGTATATTGAATGAAAAAAGTAATTACGTTCTTGATTAGTGACCATTTTTTAAGTCAAATATTTGGCACAAAAGTAGCCTTCTTTGCATGAGTCTATTATTATTCTCTCTATATTTTTTTTACATGTATTTAAAGCATACTGTGGCCTTTTTGGAGGAAAATATAGATTAGACATTACAGCTTATTTAATTAGGACTTGCTAATAGTGAGGCAAAGCAATGCATTTGTGTGACCCTGTTGCAAAAGGAATACTTTCGCTTTGATCCAGGGGGAAAAGATAGGAGGAACGTCTGTGCACCGCCTGGATGTTTACACCGCCAGAGGCTAAACAAATGCAATTTATTGAAATAACAAAACAAAACAAAGATATATTCCTCAAACATTAAAAAAACTCATTTTCTCAGGTGTCACACAAAAGAGCAAAGCCCCCTTTCTTTGGTCACCATCACTGAAAAAATATCTGTTTCTGCATTAGATCCAGCACTTTGAAATGCAGATTTGGATGTGAAAAAATAGAGCTGCTTTGAATAAAAGTGGATTTAGTTTGAAAGGCTTCACTTTGTGCCACTGCACAACGTTGCAGGACAGATCTACCGGCCACTGAGCTTTAGTAGAGACTGAAGCTGCCTTGTTGTACCTTTCAAGTGAACGTCCTGTAATGTATGTTCACAGGTTTGATCACACTGACAAAGAGACAGTTCTTTGAAATGTGCTAATGTAAGGGTGCCACAGAGAAATATGCAAAGATTCCTAATTAGTAAGTGGGCACCTTAAATTCCTGAAGAGAAAATTCTCGCTGATGTGTGTCCAGCTGTGGAGGACTGTGTTCTACTGAGCAGCTCCTGTGGTGGGAATGTGTGGAACTGAATGAATAGACATTACTCAGTCACCTTCCTCTGCATGTGAGTTAAGTTTAAAAAAAATCAAAGCAACAGAGAGTAGGTTGAAATCAAACTGGGCCAGTTTGTCTCTTGTGGTTCTGTGCATTTGACAGTGAGTCTTAATGAGCCAGAGTCCTGGAAAGACTCAAACTGACTACAGCAGGGGTCTGTACTTGCATTTTGACAGCATTGTGACCAAAATCTCTGCTCTTGAATGAGTATTTTAACCAGGTTACTACGATGCATGTAAGCAGGTTGTAACCTGATTTTTCAAGGGCCTGTAAGCTCATTTAAGACTGAGACTTGGGATCTGGATTTCTTTCAATATTTTGTAACTCTCAAGCCACAGTTGGAGCTCCCAAACTTTGCATATTTTCTTTCTAATGTCAGAACAAGTCATACAGCAGTAAATGACAAAGAACATATGGACTCTGTGCTGTTATTGTCACATACACAATGATTTTAAATCTTTTTCCATCTGTAATCTGTCTAATTTGACTCATTTCTGCTAAGAAGGGTGAAGGAATCTTCTCAAAAAGGCTCATTATTCAATCAGGGTTTCAGCAGCAAGTGGGTTTTAACTAGCAAGGATGGTATCAGGTTGCCATACAATTTACCAATGTTCATCTTTAAATAAAAAAACCCTTTCCAAGCCAGTCACAGCAACATTCAGACCATCACACAAATCACATGAAACAACCACTGATGTTGTTGATGTGGTTGTGGTCAGAGAAGAATTTGCATTTTGGACAATATGACGTAAGATATGAAACAATGCCCAACAATGGCCTCATATATTGATCTAGCCGTATAGAACATACAGCATGAAAATAGAAGACGACTGTGTGCCACTTTGACTGCACTGATGCCACAAAGAGAAATTCCTCTACATATTTGTCTGTGTGATTAAAAGCACTAATTTAAAGGCTTTGTCTTTCAGAGTTCTTTGTTCTCTGTGAACCACCATGACAAACCTGTTTGATATAAAAGCGCCTCATGAATAAATCAGACCTGAAGTGATTCTGACAAAGCAGATAAATGAAAGCTCAGCTGCAGCATTCTGGTGCCGTCCAGCCTCGTATCAACATCTAGACGTCCCCGCTGTTTTCTCGTCCGGTGCGGTATGTGTGAGCTATCGGCTGCCTGGTGTGTGTGTGTGTGTGTGTGTGTGTGTGTTTGAAGGGGGTGGGAGCACTCTCGCCGGAACCTGGGGCCAGCTGGAAGCAATGTGTGA